GAATGCCTCAATTGGCCAGTTCTATCCGTAACAATCCTCCCCCTCGTACAAAATTCATTTAATTTTGTACCTCATTTATTCCTAGTAGTTTTATTAGTTTTCGTGTCGGACGTATAAAATCACCCGTTCGTGTGCGCACCTCGGCCACTCTGACTTCTTTATCTACACCGGGAAATACTCGTGTAACGGTCCCTTTTCGCCAACTATTTCGCGGTGCTTGTAAGTCTACGATCAACACTATATCACCTACTTCTAAGGGATTTTCCTTTTCGGTCCATTTCTTACGTGGTACGAGCGTAGGTAAATATTCGCGCAACCATCGTTTCCAAAACGCCTCCGCGAAACTCTGCGCTGTTCGCCACTGTTTTCGCAAACATACATTTTGAAGATCATATCTACCTAGCTGAATCTCACCCGAGGACGATCCTATCAGGAAATGATTTGGCGTCAGTGCCTCTTTATCGCGAGGGTCTAACGACACGTGCGTGAGCGGCCGCGAGTTTACCGAATGTTCGGCTTCGGCAAAGAGCGTAGAAAGAACTTCTTCGGAGGGTGCTTGTTCCCTTAAAATCACGTTTAACGCGGTTTTTACCGACCTAATCAATCGTTCCCACGCCCCACCCATATGCGGTGCGTCAGGGGGGTTGAAAACCCATTTCACGCGTTTCGACAATGCGTATTCTTCGATCTTAGCTCGGTCCATACTCACGGTCGCGTCTTTCAGCTCCTTATCCGCGCCCCGAAAGTTCGTCCCATTGTCGCTGTAGACCACCTGCGGTGTGCCTCTTCGCGCCGCGAGTCTTTGTAATGCCATTATGGCCGAACTAGCACTTAGCGAATGCGCGATCTCTAAGTGGATGGCCCTTGTCGTGAGACACGTAAACAACACTCCCCAACGTTTCTCTCTTCGCCGCCCGATTTTTACCATCATCGGTCCAAAGTAGTCGATCCCACAGTGTGTAAAGGGTCTCTGTCGAAAAGCTACACGCCCTACCGGTAGCGCGGACATCAGCGGGTTCTGCGGCCTGCCTCGCCGTATACGACATACGATACACCTACTTATGAGCGAACGTAAAACGCGTCGAAGACCGATTATATGGTATTTTTGCCTTAATTCGTTGACTACCGCGTCGCTACTCGCGTGATAGAACTTGCGATGATATTCTGCAATTAGTAATTTTGTCGCAGGGTGTCGACCCTCGAGTATCATTGGTCGGTTGTCAAAGTTCTCAAGTCCCGTTATCGTTACGCGCCCGTTGGCCCTTAAAATTCCCTGTTCGTCTATATACGGATTTAACCCGGCGATTTTACTTCCTTTGTTGATATTACACTTCCCTTGTTGATATTACGGCCGTTTCTCAACGCAACTATCTCAGCTCCGAAATATTCTTCCTGGATAACGCGGTACCAATATTGTTCCCCTATCCGAACTATTTCCAACGGATCTTTTACGGTGTCTTTTCTCTTCCAATGACTGACGATCGCGTGTACTCGTCGCGCGATGACGAGAAGACCGCGCCAACCCATCAATCTTATCGGTAGAATGAATTCTGCTTTTACCGTCGCCGCCACATAAACGCACGTTTACCGTCGCCGCCACGTAGACGCACGCTTTCCGCTGCTCCAATCCGTCGATTGTCGCCTTTTCCTTCGCGGTCAACGTTTTCTCTATCGGCCACTTGGATTCCGGGTCTCTTTTGCGGTCAACGTTTTTTCTATCGGCCATTCGGATTCCGGACGTCGCAAAAATTCCGGGCCTTCAAACCATCGCGGGCTTATAAATTCGGAGCTATTTTCGAAGCGCGTCGCGTCGTCCGCGGGATTCTGACCGGTCGGAACCCATCGCCACTCCGTTGTCCGCGTGTTTTCACCGATCTCTCCCAGGCGGTTCGCTACGAACACCTGACGCGTTGCGTCCGCGGCTCCGATCTGATCCACGAAATCACGGTAGTCGAATCTGACCAAAAAACTCGTCTACTGATTTTAATGTCTAGTTCCTTTTCTACGAATATCGCGAGCCTTGTCCCCATCAGGGCCGCCTGTAACTCTAATCGCGGTATTGTCAACGGTTTTAACGGCGCGACTCTACTTTTGGCCATGATCAAGGAAACGTGCGCGGATTCAGACTCATTTTCGTTTTCGAACCGTAGATAGGCTACCGCCGCATACGCCGTTAAGCTCGCGTAAATCTATGAACATGCAAGATAAGATACATATAGAATTTTTACGTTACCATATCATGTACTTCAAATTGTGTACATAGAAAGTAAAAAAACAATAACTTTATCAAAATTTATGTACTTGTATACATTACTCAATTCTTTACATTGCATTCAAATTTAAATTATGGTGTATACAACAACAAATCGAAAATGAAAATTAGGAGGTAAACAATGCATTATAGTCGACCGTCAGTAATTTATGATTGCTATTAATATATACAGTAATAGACAAATGCTATGATTAAACCGAAATTAATCGTTTTAGCCACATCACTGATAAGAAACAAATGCCTTCAAGATAATGATTATCTTCAAGTGTCCGTAAGTACTACATATTTTACAATACAATCGGCCATTAATAACGAAACAGTCTCTTTCGGTGTTGCAAATATTTATTCAGCCCTCTAATTAACTAGCAAGGTACGTAGCAAGATAGTGATAACACGCGGTGATAAAATATTACTAATAATAGGTCCAATTATGAGCATGTTATTAACAGAATATTTGTTTACCTTTCCATAATCATTCATGTGTCTACAATAACAATGCAATTTTGTGTAACATGAACCAGTAGATGTCACGTAAAAAATGTTAGTTTGATTACTAAAAATTTATAGTTGTTATTATAAATGTTTACAAATCTATGTAAACAACAGCACTTTTAAGGAAAGTATGATTATTAACGAATATATTTTTTCTGTAAAAAATAATTATTTTCAGATATTCATTAAGGTAACTTCCAATACTGAAGATGAATGAAAAAAGTGTTGGAATTTCGCAACAGACATTAGTATCTAATACTGGAGATGAAAATGTACCTGCCAAAAAGTTACCTCAATATATTGCCAGTTTATCATCAACTCTTGGAGCTCTAGCAGTTGGCATGGTATTAGGATGGACTAATTCTGCTGGCGAGGTATTAGGATGGACTAATTCTGCCGGCGACAATGGAGCAGAAATACAAGCTTTATATGGCATACAAATTTCTGGAACTGAATTTACATGGATGGGTTCATTAGTTACACTTGGAGCAGGAGTGATGTGCACTTTAATAGGAATTCTTGCCGATTTTATCGGAAGAAAATATGCGATGCTTCTAATGGTAGTACCTTTTACCATAGGTTGGCTGCTTATAATTTTTGCCAACTCTGTACTTATGTTTTATATTGGTAGATTCATTTCTGGTCTTGGTGCTGGAGCTTTTGGTGTAGCTGCACCCATATACTCAGCAGAAACAGCTGAAAATGAGATTCGTGGTAGTTTAGGATCTTATTTTCAGTTACTTCTTACTGTTGGCATTCTATTATCTTATATTTCGGGAAGTTTTGTCAATATACGTGAACTATCTATTATATCTGCTATTGTACCATTTATATTTTTTGCAATTTTTATGTTCATGCCAGAAACACCTATATATTATTTGCAAAAAGGTAATGAAGACGCTGCGCGAAAAAGTTTAATTAAGTTACGTGGCAATCAATATAATGTAGAGAATGAGTTACAAAAGCAAAAGGAGGATTTAGAAAACAATGCTAGAATGAAAACTTCTTTTTTAGTTTCACTTAAATCGAGATCTACTGTGAAAAGTTTCATAATTTCTTATGGCCTCATGTTTTTTCAACAGTTAAGTGGTGTAAATGTTGTTATCTTTTATGTTAGTACTATTTTTGCAAAAAGTGGCAGTGATTTATCTCCTAGTGAATCCAGTATCATTGTGGGTGCCATACAAGTAATAGCTGTTTTTCTAAGTACATTAGTTGTAGATCGTTTAGGTAGAAAAATATTATTACTGTTATCTGCAATATTCATGTGCCTAACAACTTGTGCTCTCGGAATATATTTTTATCTTCAAAACAATGGAGAGGATGTTAGTGCAGTTAGTTGGTTACCTTTAGTAGCTGTATGTATCTTTATTACTGTATTTAGCTTTGGTTTTGGTCCTATTCCATGGATGATGGTGGGTGAACTTTTTTCACCAGAAGTAAAAGGTGTAGCTGCAAGCAGTGCTGCTCTTTTAAATTCGATATTAGCTTTTATTGTAACTAAATTTTATGGTGATCTAAAAGATGCAATCAGTGAAGGTCCCACATTTTTGTTGTTTGCTCTAATAAGTGCTATTGGAAGTTTCTTTGTATATTTCATTGTTCCTGAAACAAAAGGCAAATCCTTGATAGATATTCAAATAGAACTAAGTAACTGATTCTGATAATTGTTTTATACTTTGCCTATCAAACTTAATGTGGATATAAAATATTTCAGGTTGTATAAAAATTCGTACATTTATATCTAAAACATTTGAATTGAGATAAAACATTGTATAATAATGGGTTGACATATTGTAGATGTAACAGCAACTAAAATAATCGCTTTAAATCGCTTTAATCGCTTTAAATTCCGGCAAAACATGTTTAGATATCATCTCTTCTTATATCTTTGGTATCATTTTTTTTTATTTTATTATTTTGATAAGATAATTGATAGTACAATCTGTGATAAATTATGGACTTGTGAATCATTTATCTTGTACATCAACACTATAGAGACCTTCTTTAAATTACATAATGGTGATTTTGGCAATTTCTTCCTGTTTGAATAAAAGTGTTGCTTGTGGTTATCCAGGTACCAATTGTTCCATCAGATGGCAAATATAAGTATTTCACGAATTGTTAAATTCTGTTGTATTGTATCTTAATACCAATTTGTTTTAAAAAATATGCAATTCTATTAAAGAAGAAGAAATGCAAATGCACAATTTTTTTCTTTTAAGTTATTGTTTTACCTATTTATTTGACATACTTTTATCAAGCCTTTAAATACATCCATAAGCTTGTAAATCACTATATCACAAATGCTTCATATCAAAATAAAGATGTAATCTGTAAATAAAATTGATGTTATATTAAGAGTACATGACTATGTAAGAATCTTGTAATTGTTATCAAGAGTACCATTATATTATCTGTCTACTTAAAACTATGTACCTACATATTTCATAAGTCTTTTATTCTTGTAGAATGACATATCCACTTAAATCTTATGTAATCAGAACTGGATTACGACCTTTAGAAGCTCCAAATACCTTAAAGATTTTAGTGTTATCATATCTAATTCAAAACATTCAATGAATGTTCAATTCAATGAATGAAATATTATTATTCGAAATATGTAGAACTTCGAAACTTTGAAATTTCAGAACCTAGTATATGTTCCATATACTGTACATTATAGAGTAAACATTTCCTCTCAAGTGCTTAAAGTGCATCTCACTATCAAGTGTTTGAAGTGTTCAAAGAGATTGTCTCATTCAGTGAAGTACTTATGACAGTAAAAAAATATTAGTAATAAGTATTTATCACAATAAATGTAAAGCATTAATAATAGTTAATATTTTTATTATGCTAGATTTTATGATAACTGTAAAATAATAATGATAATAAAATCAGGAAAACAAAAACTGAATTAATCATTAAGCAAAATTAGCACATACAGGAAAATATTACAGAAACTTTCTATTGCTAAATTCTAAAATTCCAGAATGTCATAATTCTCAAATATTACAAACCAAGTTTTGAGGTACTAGTCCTGAAATTCCTTCTTGAAAGATAAATTTTTACTTTTTTTTTAATTAAGAATTGAAGTCGAAAATTAAAATATAAACTTCTGCTCTGTCTCTTTCAGTTGTCTCTTAACTAAGTACTTTGTTCAGAAATTCTTTTTAAATTAAGCTTAATGTTAAACAGACAGGTCCATACAAAAACCATAATACAATGCACTAAGAGTGTCTCACGACTAATAAAACTCCCAAAAAGGGGTGTAGGAGACGTAATTACGAACAACATTTCCTTTTGCAAAAATGGTGTTTGAAACTTCATTTTTGAATTGTTGAGGAAAAACACGGTCCAATTAGAACGTGAGAATTACGCGCACTTGAGCGCGAAAGCGACAACTTCGAGATCAAGAAAACACAATTTTACTGGAACAGGATTATTTTCAAACAATAGGTGAGTCTGATTCGAATTGGCTTATCATAATTTTTAATTGCTTTTAACATTAATTAACTAAGCTTTGACATAAGAGCTGTATATTAAACGATTACATTGTCTCGGTGCAAAGATGCTTGTTCACAATTACGCTCAGTTGTCAAACTCGAAGTTGTCGCTCTCGCGTCTGCGCACGCACTTTACGCATGCTAAATGATCTGTGTTTTTCTTTAATAATTCAAAAATGAAGCATCAAATCTTATTTTTGCGAAGAGAAATTATGTTGTTCATAATTACGTCCCCTACAACCTCTTTCCGGGAGTTACTCTAGTTGTAAGACACCCTGTATATGTTTAACGTCATAGAAGACAAAACTGCGCATGTGTAACAACCCTGGAACCTAAGTTCAGTTTATTGCAAGCGCTAAAAGGTAAAGAGCGGCTTTTACCTCTAAACGACTCGATTCTACAAATTAAGATTGTGGGATTCGTGTGGTGTGCGGTTAAGGAGTGAAATCCACAGATCAAACTCTTTCAACAATTAGATTTATTCAATAAAACGATAAGAAAATGAAACTAACAATTAACAATAACAACAAATAAAGAAAAGTATGGAAATTATAAATGATTAATTACAATAGAGAAACTAGATAGATCTTGAATAATAATAATAATAATAATATTTGATGAATTAAATAATATGTAATTGACAATTGTGAATTTAACGATTTGAAACTCCCTATTCAATACTTTATATTGGACCGTATCTGAGTCGGGTCTCTGATAAAGCAAACTTCGCATTCGCAATATTAACTAAATTTGATATTTGATTTTTGTGTTCGACGCTATCGCAATGACAAGATTTTACTTGATTAACACATTTATAAGTTATAATGATTCCTACCTATGTGTGATTCGGTTTCTAACTTAATATAAATGAAATTT